TCCTTTGAGGATCTGAAACAAGCAGATCTGCACCCCATCTTGTTTTCTGGTCAGAGTGCTCCCCTTACTTGGTTCTGCAGATGAGCAAAACTGCTTGTTGGGATTAGTCTTTGGGCACTGCAAGTATGAACTTGATCTGCCAAGATTTGTGTGTTGATTGTTGTGAGCCCCTCCTTCTTTCTCTATAATAATCAGATTCCCAAGAGTTGAGCTTCACTGATTGCCCTGTAGTCCTTGTGGTGTGCGATTAGAGTAGGGGTTCACTCATAAAGCAACCCACAATGTTGAGGTGGTGCAGGTAGTCTTCCCTGGGTTTTCTTTTCCTACTAGAGGAATAGGAGGCTCAGGGGAGACCTCTCCACATGGTGCTGTGCTGGCCTGGGGGAAGGACAATCCAGTCAGCATGAAGCTGCTTCTCTTACTTTTCTAATGCCACCTTTTTTGGTCTCTTTGGAGAAAGATTGCTTCAGCCTCATCACCGTATTTTAGGTTTTTTCTCAGTGATGTCTTATTCTTGAAGAGTTGTTGGTTGTTCTTCTTGTGAGGGGGAACAAAGTCAGGAACAAATTCTATGTTGTCATCTTAATGACATCATAGGCTTTTTAAACAAACGTGTTAAACCATCTGATTAGATTATTTTTATTACTTTATTTAATTAATAATAATTGACCAAATAAATCTCTATGCTATGTCTAAAAAAGGGCACAAAAATGAAAAAATATACAGTTTTCAAAGGACTTTTTAATCTCTGAGACGAATACACGGATAATACAAAGCAGGGAGAGAAGGTAGATTAGTGCTATTTAGTCTGAACATGGAAAACTAGCCAACCTGGTGGCTTCAAATGGAAATGTTGTAATGGTGTGCCTGCTATTTTGGAAGTTTACTGATGGTTAAGATTGATATTTGGGAGCGCCAGCCAAAGCTTGGAATGGGATTGCCAAAGAGATTATGGTACACTATCCAGTTACTCCTTGGTTTCCTGGTTCTTTCAAAAACAAGTTATTTTCTCCAAGAAAAATGTCATTTCCGCAAAGCACTTTGGCTCTTTTTGACTTGTTATACCTTAGTGACCTTCTTTTCAGGGAAGAGACAACAGGAAGAGTTGTATGGCCAAAGAATTAAAAAAACAACAACAACAATTTGAGCTCCTGGGTGGCTCAGTTGGTTAAGTGTCCGACTTTGGCTCAGGTCATGATCTTGCGGTCCGTGAGTTCTGGCCCCACATCAGTCTCTGTGCTGATAGCTCAGACCCTGGAGCTGCTTCAGATTCTGTGTCTCCCTCTCTCTCTGTCCCTGCCCCCTTAAAAATAAATAATAAAACATTAAAATTTTTAAAAACTAACAGTCTATACCATCATAAGATGGGGGGGGCATGGCCATAGATGCATAAGTTTTAAGAGCTTTAGCTGATAATAAAGTGAAGTTAAATGCCATGATTTATAGATTAATTGAATCTTTTTTTATTATTAGAATTTTTTTTATTCAGAATAAAGAAGATTATTTTGATCTACTCTACATTTGCAGATGACACTAAAAATGAATGCACAGTCTTAGAAGTATTAAGTTTTGCAACACTGAAAATGTTCCAACTAAAGCAGCGTGATCATGGGCTATAAAAAGGGGATTCTTGTAATGGTCAGTAGTGATTGAGGGCAATTCTGAAGCCCTCCAAATCTAAATTATATAGTTTTATAGGTTATATGGACCTACGGTTAGCACGTAGTGACTTCTTACTGAAAAAAGAGACAAACTATGAGAGAAGCAAATCAAACACAGGTGACAGAATTCCTCCTTCTGGGGCTCTCTGATGACCCACACACCCAGAAGTTGCTATTCATTTTATTCCTGGGTGTCTACCTTGTCACTGTGCTTGCAAATCTACTTCTCATGTGCCTTGTTCAGATTGACTCCCGGCTTCACACACCCATGTATTTTTTCCTCTGCAACTTATCTCTGGCTGACCTCTGTTTTTCTACCAACATCGTTCCGCAGGCCCTAGTCCACCTGCATTCCCAGAAGAAGGTCATTTCATTCACACGTTGTGCAGCTCAGCTTCTACTCTTCCTCATTTTTGGGTGTACCCAGTGTGCCTTTCTGGCAGTGATGGCCTATGATCGGTATGTGGCCATCTGCAACCCTTTGCATTACCCTAGCATCATGACTTGGAGGGTGTGTGTCCAGCTGGCTGCAGGATCATGGACCAGCGGCATTCTGGTGTCCGTGGTGGATACTACTTTTACACTAAGTCTACCCTACCGAGGCAGCAATAGTATTGCTCATTTCTTTTGTGAGGCCCCTGCGCTGTTGATCCTGGCATCCACAGACACTCGCACTTCTGAGATGGTCATTTTCCTCATGGGTGTTGTGATTCTCCTCATACCTGTTTCCCTAATTCTAGTATCCTATAGACACATCATTGTAACTGTGGTCAGGATGAAGTCAGCTGTGGGGAGGCTTAAGGCATTCTCTACCTATGGCTCCCATCTCATGGTGGTCATCCTTTTTTATGGGTCAGCGATTGTCACTTACATGACTCCAAAGTCTTGCAAAGAACAGGAAAAACTGGTGTCTGTGTTCTATGCAATGGTAACACCCATGCTTAATCCCCTCATCTATAGCCTGAGAAACAAGGATGTGAAGGGAGCTCTGAGGAAAGTAGCCACAAGGAATTTCTCATGCAGGCTTGAAATCTTCCACTGCCAGTGAGACCCTCTTGGCTCCTTACTTATAAGACTTGCTGAGTAGCTCCCTTAGCAAGATTGGAATATTGTAAGGTCCTTGGGCCTTGTTGTGGACCCACCCTCCATCCTTCATCTAGCACTTCCTTTGTAGAAGAAGAAGGACAATATTTCATGGACCAACACAATGAGGGTCTGCTCCCTTCTTGTTTTTTTGGCATCTAAAGAACATTCATATTTTATTAACTCTGGAACCTATAAAATCTGTCTTTTTAAAATCATGTTTTATATATTACTATCAATCTATCCCAGATCCTATGCCAACTCTTATGTTTTGAATCCCTTTGCATTATCAAATAATCAATAAATTAACAAACATTACTTAATCACTATGAGCTAGGTGTACATGTATGTGTTCCTGCACATGAGTTTGTATGTGTGTTTGAAGTGGGTAGTGAAGAGCATGGTACAATGAAGCAGAATATATGAGTTCTGCTGTCCTTCTTACACTCTGCTCACACCCCTAATAAGGGACATGAATATTTTATCTATCATATAAAGGTAAATACAGGATTTTGGAAGCTAACAAGAGATAGTGACATCCCAGGGCTAGCAAGAGTTAGAAAGAAGCAGGTACCAACCCTGGGCCTAAAGGACAATTAGAGCTTGGAAAGCCAACAGACAGGAGCTGTGGACTTAGGTGTATGGAAGTGAGAAAGCCACAGGAATAAGTATTTCAAGTTCATTCTCTACCTATCTTCTGACTTCCTGTTACTGTATTAAAATAAAATCCAGGATAAGCTCCCCATCTGAAGATACTTATTTTAATTCTGTCTACAAAGTCCTTTTTCCTTTGTAAGGTAACATATTTATATGTCCTGGGATTAGGACATGGACATCTTTGGGGAATCCTTGTTCTGCCTGCCATCCAAGGACAAGTAAAATAAATGTAAAGGAGTGATTAAAGTTTGGTTACAACTGGGGATTATAAATGTATAGGGGTGTCAATCCACTTAGCTGTGTGATTGCTGCTATCCAAACAGAACCCCATGATCTATCTTTTCTTTTACAAATTCCTGTAGTGACAATTTAGAACGTGCTGCCCTTCTAGGTTCCTTGCTACATGAGAGCCCTTGATACCTGTGTGGGGGATTGAAATAGCCCTGTTCCCTCCATAGCACACAGAGATAGAGTTATAGAGTTTGTGGAGAGGACATGCCTATGCAGTGAATGCTATTTCACTCTGTTAATTTCACTAATTAACACAAAGCTGTGGTGCACACATCCCAAGTCTGCTATTTTACAGGAATCCAGAGTTGGGCTATGTTCACTAGATAAAACCATAAAGACAGGCTGCTACACTGGTTGAGTGATATGCAGGCTTAAAAAGGACAGCTGATTTCACCTGATCAAAACAAGATTACATAAAATGTTTAGTAAACAAGGAATCTTTGGGTTATTCACAGAAGTTTCCTAGAATTTTGTACACTTACACTGAACTTTGGATTCCTTGACACAGCTTCTGTCAAGCAACTCTCATATCCAAGGTGAATAATTTGAGATTGAGGCTGTGTCCATGTTGAGTAGTCTTTCTCCAGATAAGACACAAACCAATTATTGTAGTGGAGGAAGAAGTCCTAATATGCTATCCCTCTAAAAATGGGTACTTTATAAGCCAGTAGAGGTTTTTAAGTATTGCTTTATTATTTCTCTTTACCACTAGAACATAAATTCCACAAGGTAAGAAATTTGTCTATTTTATTCAGGAATCAGTGTTCAGAGCTTAAACAGAGTCTGACACATGCTGAATGCACTGAAAATTTTGAGTTCGAACTCAAAGTTTGCTGAAAAAAAGTGAGTGAAAGAATGAAACAAAACTCTTATTTATTATCACCATTATCATATATGTACCTTGTAAACAAAAAAGATCCTTGAAAGTGGCAGTAGAGCTTTTGGACAAATAGAAAAATGCAAAGCTGAAGATTATAAAAAGACATGGGTGAAGAAGTTCAACAAAGTTAAAACGAGTGAAGAATGGCAAATTGTAGTGATGTTATCAACCTCCAGATAGGCTCCTAATCTCTGTAAGATAGTGGCATCCTCAGATGCACTGATACCACAGTCCCACAGAATCCTGGGCCTACAGAAGTTCTCTTTCCTCACTCATGATCTTTCATTCAGAAACGGATCCTATTAAAGTCCAAAATTCTAGTGGGTAGAGCATGACTCCTAGACTGAGGAGAGACCAAACCCATTTGAAGAATTTTTTTTTCTCCTTTGTCCTTGCCTTCCACCCCTTCAGTTTCCGTCTCCAGTCAATCAGAGTTTCTGAGGGCCCAGGGTCCTACGTATGACTCGCCTCAGTGCAGACTTCACTTCACTGTTCCTTAAGCTGTAGATGATGGGGTTCAACATGGGAGTCACCACTGTGTAGGACAGCGAAAGCAGCTTCTTGCTCTCAGGAGAGGTGCTGGACCGGGGTCGGAAGTATGTGAGGATGGCAGTGCTGTAGAAGAGGGACACAACCAGGAGGTGGGAGGAACAGGTGGAGAAGGCCTTGCGTTTCCCCTCCGCTGAGGGCATCCTGAAGATAGTGGAAAGGATGCGGACGTAGGATCCCAGGATCAGCAAGAAAGGAAAGAGGATGAATAAGACAGTGGCCGTCAGAGCCTCCAGTTCAAACAGAGAGGTATCAGCACAGACCAGTGCAATGACAGGGGGGCTGTCACAAAAGAAGTGGTTCACTCTGTTGGGGCCACAAAAAGGGAAGCTGAAAATCCATGTGGTTTGCACGGTGGCCACTGGAAACCCTGAGAACCAAGAGGCAGCTGCTAGCTGGGCACAGGCCCTGCGGCTCATAATGATTGGGTAGCGCAAAGGATCACAGATGGCCACATAGCGGTCATATGCCATGGTGGCCAGGAGGCAGCACTCAGCAGCCCCAAAGAAGAAGAAGAAATACATCTGAGAGGCACAGCCAAGGAAGGAGATGGTTATGTCTTGAATGATCAGAGTCCCCAGCATCTTGGGCACAATGACCAAGTTGAAGCCTATCTCCAGGAAGGACAAGTTCCTGAGGAAGAAGTACATAGGATTTTGTAGAGCTGAGTCAGCTGTAGTGACCAGGATGATGAGAACATTGCCCATTAGGGTAACCAGGTAAACAGTCAAAAAAAGGAGAAATAGTAGAGCTTGTAGCTCAGAGGATAAGGTTGAAAAGCCCACAAGGATAAACTCGCTGACAATTGTCCAGTTTCCCCACATCATTCTTCTGCCCAGGATTTCACTGACATTCATGCTCCAAGAAGGTAGAAGTCTCCATATGGTATTCAGACCTCTATTATACCCTTAGAAAACCTCCTATGGCCTCATTCTCTACCCTTATTGTTAACAGTTGTTGCAAATCAAAAGGTGTACTTTCCAAAAAACCTCCTGTCTATGGGATTCATAATTGTTTGGAAGAATACTAGCCTTTTTTTCAGACTGAACTGAGGCACCCTGTATACATCTATATATCTCCTGACTTTGCTGTATAGAGATCAAAATCACAGCTTCATGTTGGGGCTCCTACCTTATCTTTCTTCAACATTCAGTGGTACTAAAAAAGCAGCCAGGCCAAGCATTTCTGAGGAGAAGGGTCTTAATGCGCAATGAAAGGTGATGAGGTGAGCCAGGGTATGTTGTCTGCAGAATGAAAGGGTAGGAAAGAGAAAATCAAAGAAAGTTACCTATGATCCTGAGGAGGAGAACTGAATATGTTCTAATCTCAAGCAGCTGACCCTCAGGATGATTTCAGTATTTTGGAGGAATACCCATATATTCTATATTCAATACAAATACATTCATTTCTAAACTCAGAATATTGCAATTTGTACAAGGAGACATGGAATATAGAGACTGTGGTTTATTTTGATCCCTGAGCTAAATATTCTCCATGTAGCTATATGTGATCAGAAAAGGGAACACAGAGTCAAGACAGGGTCAGACCATAGAAAGAATCTCAAGGCACTGCATATAAACCCTTTCATCAGTTTCTGTTGGTTGACTTGTATCTTGATTTTCAAGAAATATGACCTCAAGTTTTACATGTTAATAAATAAAGACCAACTCAAATCTGCAGATGAATAATGTCAAATCCGATGAGAAAGAAGTAGAACGTTTCATCAGGGCATCAAGAACCAAACTTCAAAACTGAGACCTGAAATTATGATGGATATAAACTTAAATGAAGGAATAAATCTAAAGCACTTGCATGTGACTGGTACAGTACACATGCTAACCATTGTCGTTATTATGAGATAATGCTAGATCTGTCTTCCAAAGTCTACTTCTTATCTATTTATCTACTGCCTAAACTCACTGTAGTCCCTACTTTTCAGTCTCTAGGAGAAAAGAATAATCTATTCAATAAATATTGGTTATCTTCTCTATGCCAGACACCGTTCTAGACACTGAAGATAATACAGTAAATAAATACAATAAAACATTGTAAATAAATAAAACAAACAAAAAAAATCTCTGCCCTCATATAACTCATTTTCCAGTATAAAAGACTGACTGTAAACAAATTATATAAATAGGATGTATAGTATGTTAGGTCGTTGTAAGAACAATGGAGAAGAATAAAACAGTGGAGTAGGATGTCAGCATTTGAGGTGTGGGGAGGGTCAGAGAAGGCTTCCCTGAGCAGATAATGTTTGAGTCAAGTACTGAGTAGGTACAAGATGTGGTCAGGGTGGTGAAGGAAGGAGGGTGGTGAACAGCCAAAACAGCAAGAGGGGCATCTGTGTGGCTCAATCACTGAAGCGTCCCACTCTTGTTTTCAGCTCAGGTCATTCAGCTCACGTCATGATTTCATGGTTCATGAGTTCGAGGCTCACATCAGGCTCTATGCTCTCAGCCTGGATCCTACTTGGGATTCTGTCTCGCACTCTCTCTGCCCTTCCTCCTATTTGCTGTCTCTCAAAAATAAACATTCAGAAAAAAATAACAGTGAGAAAATGCCATTTAAAATTTTCTGCTGATTCCTATTCCTATTATTTTAAATTTATTTGTTTTGAAAGAGAGACAGAGAGAGAGCACTAGTGAAGGAGGGGCAGACAGAGGGAGAGAGAATCCTAATCAGGTTCTGTGCTGTCAGCGCAGAGCCTGATGTGGGTGCTGTCAGTGTGGAGCCCCATCCAGGTCTCAGTCTTACAGTTAGTGAGATCATGACCTGAGCCAAAACCAGGAGTCAGGCACTTAACCAACTGAGCCATCCAGGTGCCTGTAAGTTTTCTATGAAAACTTTGATACTTTGTCAATTTCCAAGTAAGAGTTAACACTTAATGAGCACCAGATAAATGCCAGACACTATGCCAAGTGGTTTGCATGCATTATGTTAAGTGTCGCAACAAGCTGAAGATATAAGGATTGCTAGTAGTCCCACTTTACAGCTGAGGAGGCACAGAGAAGTTGAATAATTTTTCCAAGGTTACACAGCCAGCAAATGGTGGCATCGGGGTATGCCTTTTGGGCAGTTTGACTCTGAGTCATGGCTTTACCCATCAGGGGACTTACCCACTCTGAAAATGGAAATGAGTCTGAGCTCATAGGTGAGGGCAAGCTGGAGTTTTTGGCATAAGGTGGTAGTAACAGAGCAGAAAGCAAAACAAATTCTAGAGACGATTAGAACGTTTCAAGGTATTAGCAACACTGGAGAGCTGGAATACCACTCTCATGATCCTAATATTAGAATAATTATTAATTTATGTCTCCATCTCATACTTTAGATGGTGTACTACTTGAAAGTAGGAATCGTGTAGAAAATTTAACTTTTTATCTCAATTCCAGGCAAGGTAGATGCCCATTAAATTGTTAATAAACAAATGAAGAATGAACAAAATATAAAAATTAATCATGGAAATATCTGTATAGGCAGAGTATGGGCACAGTGAGCTCCATTCAGAAGGAATTTAGATACAAAGACACATACGTCAATGATACAGCCTCAAACAATTTACACAGATTTAAAGAGTGATAAGGGTTATAAATGGATGTATAAATTACATCCATCATCTTCCTCTACCCCAAGCCTCCTCCTTTTATCTACCTCATTTCAGGAAATGACACCACCCAGGCTGCATGACCCAGGAGTTGGGACAAAAATCCTTTAATTCAACCCCAAACTTTATTATTTTTCCTAAACACCAATTCAGTGTCACCTTCTACATCCCTACTCTTATCTTCTCTGGCCTGGAATATTGCAGGAACCCGATTCTAGTTCATTCTCTACAAGCCATCCTTGACTTGTGTGTGCTCTGACAGCAACTCCAATTAAGTTACTCACCTGCTCACTGTCTATTGTCCCTGGGAAAAGTACAAAACCTTTAAGAAGGTTTTTTTTCTCTGGTATCTGCTTAGTTTTCCAGATTCAAATCCCTACACAGCTGATGCTCTGTTTACACAAAAATGCTCTCTGTTCTTTCACCCCTCCTTGTACCTATGCACCTGGCTTTCTACTTTTGGAAACCTCTTCTTGCAATTATGTATACTTTCTTCTGATCTTGCAAGTCTCTGCTGAAACATCGTTTTGTGAAGTTTCCCTGCGCTCCCTTGGCCTAATTAAGGGGTTATTCTTTAAGTCTCTTGTTAACACTTTTTACAAAACTCTATCAGAGCACTATACCATTGTTTATGGGTACATATTTTCCTACTAGCTAATAGTTAATGCCAGGAGGAAAATCTATTCATCATTGTATCTTCTGCACCTAGCAGTGTGCTTAACTCCAAGTGCTTGGTAATTAATGTAGTCTAAGGTTTAATTTTTATGGCAGTTTGATGACAGTATTGGGTCTCTAGTTGAGCCTACAGTTAAGACCTCTGAATGTGTGTGTGTGTGTGTGTGTGTGTGTGTGTGTGTTTTATAGGTTGTACATTTGGTTTTGTTTTCCAGTATATATTTATTTTTAAATGTATCGCTATGTTCTGAGAAGATTTTTTTTTTAATTTTTTTTTCTTTTAATGTTTTATTTATTTCTAGGAAAGAGAGACAGCGTGAGCAGGGGAGGGTCAGAGAGAGAGGGAGTCAAAGACTGAAACAGGCTCCAGGCTCTGAGCTGGCAGTCAGCACAGAGCCCTACGCGGGGCTCGAACCCACGAACCGCGAGATCATGACCTAAGCGAAAGTCGGACGCTCAACCGACTAAGCCACCCAGGCGCCCCTCTGAGAAGATATTTTAAAAGCTTTATTATAACAGCCTTGCATCACTCACTGACAAAGATGTCCATTTCCCTCAAATGTTTAATCAAAATGTCTCCTCGGAAAGAACCATGACGTGACGTTGGGGCATATCACTTAAGCCATATCCCAAAATGAGTTGGCACCAATTTTTTAACCTCTACTTTTTGGGCTACTTAGCAAAACTATCTGTTGTGGGGTTTTTTTTCTATCAGTGACTGTAAATAATTTCAGATATGAGATGGGTATAAATAAACAGTTATATGTACTGTTACCTGGAATATATCTCTTTAATGTAGTAACAAAGACCTCACGAAAGAGTTTGTCAAATGCTTTAGTGAAATTCAGATAAACCATATCAAACACTCATTCTCTAATCTAAGATCTAATGTCAACTTCCTTGTCAGGCTTTTTCTATCTCCTTCCCAAAATGGGTAAGTTACTTTCTCCTTTGTGTTCCCTATAGCATTTTAAAATACTCTTAGTGTATCAATGGTTTTGTATTATAATTAATTTCATATTTGTCCTCTCCTGCAAATTGTGTACTCCTTGACACAAACTAAATGATATATGTCATTGTATCCACATTACAATGCCTGATAATTACAGAGTAACGATAAACGTTTGTTGAATCACTAAGTAACATTTATCCTAATGACATTAGTTAATTGGTTTAACGTGCTGATATTTATGTTTAAAAATTAATTAAGTTTTTAGTCGTGAAATTCTTTGTGAATCCATGATGGAGCAATGTAATCACTAATATTTTTTAAATGTTTGTAAAATAAAGTGTTAAACAATGTTTTAAATTATTGTTTGGTAAGAGAGGTGGAAATAAAATGTACAATTGTAAAACACTACACAAATTTGCACTCTCACCACCATCATCATCATTACGGATATCATTATAGTCTTTATGGTTTCAGAAAGAGTCTAAACCAAATATTTTGTAAAGCAGTTAGGTAGATAGAAAATAATCCAATAAAGTGTAGCTGAGACAGACCCATGATAGTTGAAACTGGAGAAAACAGCAACATAACATAGTTTG